GTGTTGTGGGTTTGTGTGTGAGTGTGTGTGTGAGTGTGAGTGTGAGTGTGAGTGTGAGTGTGAGTGTGTGTGTGTGAGTGTGTGAGATAGAGTGTGAGTGTGTGTGTGTGTGTGTGTGTGTGTGTGTGTACCTTCATCTCTGCGGGGGCAGAGGGCACACTGCAGACCCCAGGCCTCACCATACAAACAGCAGCACTCAGTGAAGGTCAGCTGAGCTCCTAACAAAGGACTCTGACACACTAGACTAGCTGTGACGTGACGCCAACAGAAGTTTAAGTTCTCATCTGAGAAAAACACAGACAGACAGACAACAAATAAACTTTAAATAGGACCTAAAGTTGTCATTTTACACATCGCAACTTTAGTTTTTTCCATTCTTAAAGGGACAGTTCACCAAAAAAATTAATTCTGTCATCAATTACTCACTCTTATGTCATTCAGAACTTATAAGGGTTTCATTTATCTTTAAAACACAAATTAAGATATTTTTAATAAACTTCCGCAAGTGCATGTCATTCAAGTGTTCGAGCTTCCGCTGACCATATTTGATGAGCTCTAAATGTGTGTTGGTGAATATGTGAATACAAACCTACATTACATCTGTTTAAACTGCTTGATTACAGCATATTTACAAACTTTTCTTTAACTGTGAATTTTTGGTGAATTGGACTTTCAGTGGAGGGACATGAGGGTTCATTTTTGGCTGAACTAAAATGAAACTCTTTAACATATAATTCATTAAAAAATATACAAAAAACAAAAAAAATATATAATAGAAAAAAAAAAAAAAATTATATATATATATATATATATATATAAAAAATCCAATTTAATATCTCTTTAAACTGAAACTCTTAACTCATAATTTATATAAAAATATATAATAAAAATGTATGGTACTAAAATAAAGTATAATTTCAAAAATAATTAGACAATTAAAAATACACCTTTAAAATGAAATGCTTAACATATAATTTCTATAAATATATGTAATAAAACACTTCTAGATGTAAAATAAAATATCATTTAATTATCATAAGGACAGAAATAATTATTGAAATAAAAATAAATTATCCTTATTTAAAACGAAAGACAACATATAATTTATATAAAAATATATACAAATCTATAGCAGTAAAATTTAATATAATTCCATCATCATAGGGACATTTTTTTTTTCAAATATGATTCCATTATTATATGGACAAAAATATATATTTTTAAATAAAAATAAATTATATATATAATTACATATAAAATAAAAAAATGTATATACTGTAGTCAAATCTAATATAAATCCATTATCATAATGGCATGGACAAAAATATTTTTTAAAATAAAAATAAAATGAAAATAGTTATATGGCCAGCATGAAATACTGGTGGTTGCTAAATGTTATCAAAGCCAGTGGCAGAGAAGTCATTGCAGTCTGTGTATCTGTGCATCTCTCACCCTCAGCGAGGCCGCTTGCATTGACACAGTTGCGCTGTGTGTCGTCCAGCACTAGAGGGGGCGCACACGTACAGTAAAACGTTCCCAGTGTGTTGACACACTGACCGCCAGTGCAGGTCTCCTCACTCTCACATTCATTATTATCTACAGGAAGACAGAGAGACAGAAACATCAGTCTGCTGAGCTGACATCTATCCCAGCCGGCACTGGTGTTTTGAAGGCTGACCGATGCACTCCAGCAGATCCGTGTCGTAGTAGAATCCGCTGGGACAGTAACAGGCGTAGCCGGGAATGTTGTTGACACACACGCCGCCTTTACACACCTCCGGGTCAAACAGCTTACACTCATCCACATCTGTCCAGAGAACAAACACACTCAGATTAGAAGCAGCCAATGCTGAGAGACTTGTGGGACGTTTATGTGAGAGTCTGTTTACCCTTGTAGCTGAACGCTCCTGTTTCGGTGGTGATGTACCCTCTTCCGCTGGGACACAGCGACTGGAATTCCACTGAACGGAGAGATATTGATGACAGGAAAAAAGTGAGAAACTCATCGGTGTGAAAACTTGAATTCGCACTTGAAATCTTAAGCATATTTTTAATACTGTCCTTGCAGACAATATGATATTAATGAAATTTAAATGCAATATGAGAGAGGCAGTTTCATTACTGTTTCTTAACACACTTAAGTAGACTTTTAAAAAGTGCACTTTGCACTAATGTCAAATTAAAAGTTAGTTTAAAGTACATTTAAAATCATTACGGTATAATAATCTTTTGTCATGTTTTAAAGAAGTACACTTATTTGTATGTGTTTACTTACATAAAGTTAATGCATTTTAAATTGAAAGATCCAATAAACTTAGAAATGTGTAATTGCAAATATATTTAAAATGACATACAAGTTTCAATAGAAATTACATTAAAGTATATTTGAATTTAAATTTCAAATACTTTTGAATTATGAAATCACAATAAAATGCACTTAAGAATGTTCTTAAAATTCATCACTTCAGTTCATAAAATAAATGTAATAAATTCATTTGAACACATTTAAACTATTTACACTACAAATAATTTTCATTTAAATAACATGCAGTTAAGTTTCCCAAAACCTTATATTTTCTTTAGGATTATTATATAGCAGACAACATTTGAAGTGGATCAAAGTTGTCCTAGAACCTAAAGCCAAAAATGTGTTCTTGTCTCAGGACAACTTTGATGAACTTTTTTGATCCACTTCAGATGTTGACTACTGTAGTAAACTAAACTAAACTAAACTAAACTAAACTAAACTAAACTAAACTAAACTAAACTGTTATTTTAAATAAGATAAACCCTAACTGAAATACATTTTAATAATACAAATTATTTTAGCTAATTATTCAACATTTATAATTTTAATGCAGTTTATCATGATGTACTTAAATAACTAAAACTGAAATAAACATGTATAAAAAACTATATAGACATAAAAAACTACTAAAAATGACTAAATGACTAAAAACACACACACACCCTCACACACTCACGCACACACGCACACACGCACACACGCACTCACGCACACACGCACTCACACCCTCACACACGCACTCACGCACTCACGCACTCACACCCTCACACACACACTCACACACTCACACACACACTCACACACTCACACCCTCACACACTCACACCCTCACACCCTCACACACACACTCACACCCTCACACACACACACACACACACACACACACTCACACACACACACACACACACACCAAGTAAGTGAAACTAAACAAAACGAAATTAACTGAAATGTAATGTAAAATATAAAAATTTAAACAGACAAAAAAAATGTATTATTAAACGTCGTACCTCAATGATACTAAA